GCGGCGAGTACTACCTCCGATCCGGCTCTGGGATTGGTCCGATACATAGCGAAGTTGTAACATCGTTACAGTAATATTACTAAATAATACAATAACACCAAAAAGAAGGTGTACTTAAACGATAGTTCCCTTAATAGGAAGCTACACTCTATAGATACTAAAATTAGCCTAACGGATTAAAAGGCGAGAAGAAGAGAGGATAGCGCAACTCTAGAATTCCCTAAAAAATATAAAGAATATAAGCATCTATTTTAGAAAGTAGTCACACAACTGCAGACAACTTCGAGTTTTCTAGAATAGGTGTAATTTTAGTCAAATATATATAAACCCCTCGCGAGAAATCGATTACAATCACCTTTAAAGCGTGCACGCCACGCGCTGTGGAGCTATAGGCTGTTAAAGTGATCACTTTAGACACGTCTTATTTTTCACCGAAAAACACACAGACCAGGTGGATTAGTAATCAAAATGCCACCCGATAGTGATACTATCGACGTACACGTGCCAGGCACCCAGGCGAGAGCAGAAATCGAAGCTCAGATCCAGAATGAGATAGATATGGAAACCACGGAACCAGCGACGCCTACGCAGACTACTATACCTAGCGTAGTTGAAATACCAATCCTCCCACCAAATAAACGGCAGGCAAACTTCTCGCCAGAAATACGCACTAGGAGCAACTTCTCACCATTTAGAGGAGCTACGCTTAGATTCAGTACTCAAAGCAGAACTCCGAAGGCAATATCAGTACAAGAGGCGCTAGAAATAGCGAGAAACCTAGTAGTCCAAGCAGCTAATCTAGCTGAAAATAACCCCTCGCAGCAGACTAGCCTACTCGACCTAGTAGAAGTCTTTAGAGACTACACTGAGACAGGAAGAGTTAGCAAGAAGAACGCTGTAATCCTGGGAGATCAGATCTCCTCGCTATCTAACGTCTCAAAGGAGCTTAGAGATAAGGTTCGTCGTCTTGACAAGCCTACCTCTACACAACCAAACCAGCGAGAAAAGAGTCAGATAACTGCTCTTACGCAGCCTATATCATACGCTACAGCCGCAGCAGCAAACAAGGAGCAACAGTGGACTACTGTGCAGAAGAAGACACCTCAAAAGGCTAAGCCCAGCCTCAAGGAGAGGCAGCTAGTCCTAGTCAACCAAGGAGCTCCTACTGCCTTTGACGCCCTCAGGCTAAGAAACGCCTTCAACCAGGCCTTTACCTCTAGAGGAGGAGTACAATCGCCTGTAGTCGCCTCAGTCACGCTATCCTCAAAGGGGAATAAGGTGGTTACTACTACGCCTGCCTTCACGGCCGAGTACCTACTAGAAAACCAGAGTATCTGGAAGGACCTAGTAGCCTTTAAGGCAGCGCAGCCTATTACCTCGTGGTTTAAAGTAGTGATCCACAAGCTTCCTACTAACCACAGCCTGGAAGTAATTAAGGAGGAGATTGAGACCTTTAACAAAGGCCTTAAAGTAGTAGGAACTCCCTTTTGGCTCACTCCTGAGACTAAGAGAGGACAGCAGAGCTATGGCTCCGCCTGCGTCGCCTTTGCGACTGAAGAAGAGGCTCTTAAGGCTATTAGAGGAAAGCTCTATATCCTAGGAGAGAGCCTTCGAGCAGAGAAGCTACGAGTCATTAATAACTCAAAGCAATGCTCGAAATGCCAAGGCTTTGGCCACCTAGAGACTAGGTGCTCGAAAATAGCCTGCCAGATCTGCAGTGAGGCTCACTACACTAGCCTACACAAATGCAAGTCTTGCCCTGCAAAAGGTAAAGCCTGCGTACACACTATTTTTAAGTGTAGTAACTGTAATAAACCTCACGCAGCTAATAGCCATGACTGTGAGATCCTACAAGCTAGGACTTCTAGGACCACTACCTCTTCTAACTAGAATGTTAAAGGTCCTACAAATAAATGTTAATAGAAGTAGTCCTGCTACCGAGAGCGCGCTAGATCTAGCTGTTAAAGTAGACGCCAAAATCGTCGCAGTACAGGAGCCCTGGCTACTCAAGGGATCCTCGTACGCAAATACTAGATCTATCGCTCACCAGGACTTTACTCAGATACTACCCGCCCTAGAGGATAGCTCCTTGAGGCCTAGAGTACTCTTCTATATTAGAAAAGACCTAGAAGTAGAGGTTAATCCTTTTATTAGCGACGACAACGACTTTCTAGCTATCAAAGTATTAGCCCCTACTTCTAGCTTCTATATCTATAACATTTACAACGAAAAAAGCCTTCTAGAAGGGCTAAGCGAGACGACAATACAGAGGCGCCTCCTACAGGAGACCGTACAGCCTCAGTCAATTATTCTAGGAGACTTCAACACCCACCATCCTAGATGGAGCCTAGAAGAGCGCAGCCCTAGCACCCAAGCAGAGGATCTAG